AGGCCCGAGGTGCTTCTTGATCTCAGTTTTGAAGGAAACAAGGGATTCTAAGAGATGTAGGTAAAAAGAATGTTCAAACCCTGGCCACTTTCCACCTGCATGACCGTGGGCCTGTCACTTAACCTTTCTTAACCAGTTTCCTACTGTCTAAAGTGAGGCATTTTGATTAGATGATCTCTCAAAACTCTACCAGTTCAGATCTACGAATCTCTGATCCCATGACTCCACGTAGGCCTTCTACATCACAATGGCTCACAACCACACCTCCCCTCAACTTTATAAAAGCAGGAGCTCCCTGAAACGAGACCATCTACAATCTGGCCTTCTGAGTATTCTTTACACATAACCCTCCATCTCCCATTCCCCTGCCTTTGCACTGGCTGTGCCTCACACCAGGAACACAATTCTTTTTACTTACATATCCCTTGTTTCCTTCAAAACTCAGTTCAAGTGGCACCTACATTGCCCTTCCTGATCCTCTGAGTTGTTATTTTCCATTCTCCTTGTATTTATTTTGAATTTACATATATATATATATATATATATATATATATATATATATACACACACACACACATACACACACACATATATAGTGTGCATATATTATCCATGTGTATATATACATATATATGTGTGTATGTATACATATATATGGGAAGCTAGGTGGCATAGAGGATAGAATGCTAGGCCTGTGGTCAGGAAGACTCATCTTCCTGAGTTCAAATATAGCCTCAGATATTTACTAACTGTGTGACCCTGGGTAAGTCACTTAACCCTGCTTTCCTCAGTTTCCTCATCTGTAAAATGAGCTGGATGAGGAAATGGCAAACCATTCCAGTATCTTCATCCCAAATGAGGTCACAAAGAGTAGGACACAACTAAAACTACTGAACAACACAAATACATACACATACACATGCATTTTGTCTCCTCCCATAGAATGTAAGCACCTGGAAGCCAGAGACTATTACATTTTTGTCTCTGTGTCCCTAGCAAGTAGCACAAGTCATTTTATTGCTATGAGTCTTGGTTTCCATAAAACAATGGTATTGAGATATATTAGGGGTTCTTAACTTTTTTTTATGTCATAGGCCCTTCTGGTGACAGTCTGGTGAAGCCTATGGACTCCCTCTCACAATAAGGTTTTAAATCCTTAAAATAAAATACGAAGGATTAGATAGAACAGAAACCAATTCTGTTGAAATATAATTATCAAAATATTTTGTTAAAAACAAGTTTGTGGACCCTTGTACTAGATAATCTCTTCCAACTTCATCATGCTATAATTTTGTTTCCTCAGTAGTTCTAGAAAAGGAATCCTCCTTCATTAAAGGTGCCTCTACCTGATTGTGGTCTGCAGGTGATGCCGATTCTCAAAGGTCATGCCAGTGGAGTGTGAGTTCTTTAAACCTTATGAAGGTTAAAAAGGGTTTGAATGGGAACCTCTTGCCAGAGGGTAACTGTTTTGAGGACCAGCTTGGATAAGCTCAGAGATGTTCATCACTATGGTGACCACAGGGTGATTAATATTTCAGATGCTGCAATTTTCAAAGCCCTTCTGAGTGTTTATGGTTGTGATCTCCATTGGTGGACAGAGCCCTCACAATGTCAAAAATCACAGGTCCTTAAGTATTGAAATAAGTATTAGTCCTACCTACCCAGTCTATCATGGAGACTGTTTTGGGTTTTGGCCAGGAGACAGCAGTGGGGATTCAGAACATTGCTTCCTACAGTGTTGTATATTTCCAGGATGGAAAGTCCACCCCTCCAATACAGACCAGCAACTCCATAAAAGTGCTATACAAATGCAGAATATCATTATTATTATCATAATCAAGAAAGACATACAGGGAGAATGAGAGGTCAGGGACACAGGTATGATAGGAAACGTACAAAGAATCACAGCTACCAAAGAAGTGAACAGAGGGGATTAGTGAAGTTCATCTTTGAAATAGAAACAAACACAAGCTAAGACATCTGTTTTGCGAGGATGTGATGTAAAATTTAGTAACAGTAACATTCTTATTTAGTAACAAGAAACAGGGAAGTTCTCTTAAGGCATGTACACATGCACACATACCCCTCAACATTTTTTTTTTTGCTGTGAAATATAGAAATGATATAAATAATATAAATATTTTCTTATATTTCTTATCTATATAAATTATTCTTTTTTGCCCTAAAAGCTGTACATGTGAGGTAGAAAAAAAAATACCCTGTCTGAGTTTCTCTTAAAGCGCCAGAATGGGAAAAGCAATCCCCTTAGTTGGGAGAGTTCCAGTGTGCCAATTCTGAGGCAGAGACAGGCAGGGCAGGGAGAAACATGGGAAAGGATGTTAACAAGTGGGGAGAGAGTGTTACCAACAACTGCTTCATGTGTATTTTGGTGCCTGTCCCTCAGCCATCACTTGCCTGTTGCTTACAAGTCAGCCTGAAGACCATCCTGTCTATCATCACTGTGCCCTTAGAGGGTGTTCCTCGGCCTTCCCCACTAATTCTATTTGGGGATGGGGTCATCCATCATCATAGTAGCAGCTCAGAAGGAGTGTGATGAGAGTGGATGGGGATAGGTGCACTAAGCATCTCAACTCCCTTTTCTGATCCCACCCTTCCTACTTGGTGAGTCCAAGTCATAAACTTCAGGTGAAAGGCTGATGAGGTGAAACAGGACTTGGGGCTTTTGATGGGCTGGATAGAGCAAGAGGGAACCCTGATGTGGAAACTTGTCAACGGTGGAGGAGGGTGAGAGATAAATGTTGAGAAATAATCTGTGTAGACTTTTCCCCTGCTGGAGGAAAAACATAAAAACCTCCTACCCCTCAGCTTCTCTTCTCCTCCACTCATGCTACTGGTTGGTTTGACGTCTACCAATAGTGTCCATCTACTTCAAGATCTCATTGAGAAGCTAGTTCTGCTTACTGTTTCATCCCATCCTCCCAAACACCCAACCACCATCTACCCAACTATGTACTGCTGTCACATGGTAGGACTTTGGCTCCTGGATTCTCCAGAGTAGGTCACCAGGGCAGAAGCCCTTCTGCTTCCTGTCATGAAAGTTGCTTTTCTAGGTGGTATCAAGTACACTTTAGATGCTTATGCTCCTCTTAAGGATTACGTTAATTTCCTGGCTTCAACCAAGGCTGGAATCTCCATGGGGTGGGTGGGTGGGGGTAGGTGGGGGAAAATGAGAAAGAGAAGAGGAGAAAGAAGCTGACCTGGCCTTCCTTTTCAGAGGGTCAGGTACTTCCCACTTCCCTAAAGCCGATCTGAGAGAAATGAGCATATGAACTCAGACATACGAACATTTCAAGGTCCTAATTCTGGACAAATAATTTTCCTTAGCTTATTGAGTGGCTTTTGATCTGTTGTGGCATAAGATAGATGTGCTTCAGAGCTCGAGGAGACCTTAGAGATCATTTAGTCCAATCCATTCATGTTACAGATGAGGAACCTGAAGCCCAGAAAGGGGCAGTGATTTGCCCACTGTCATACAGGTAACAAGAAGCCAAGCATGGATCTGCACCCAGGTCCTCTTAACTCTAAATCTAAGACCCCTTCCTCTCTACAAGTCTGTCTCTCCTATACCACTCAATCTAAATAAGAGCTTTTGCCTTGATTGTAGCCATTAGTAAGTGAAGGACATTTGCAACTGGCATCAGGGTGCCCAGCTTAGCCAAAGTTCTCACGTACTAACAACGACCAGATTAAAAAGCTTGAGAACAGAAACAAAAGTAGAACTTGTGAATTAGCTATTTTGTCCATTAGACTGTGAGCTCCTTGAGGGCAGGGACTATCTTTTTTTGTATCTCCAGCACTTAGCAGAGTGCCTGGCACATAGTAGGTACTTAATAAATGTTTATTGATTAACTGACTTGCTGTTCACATCAGAATGGATGAGTGTACACACACACATACATCTGCACATATAAAGTCATTCTTGCTCCATCACACTCATGTATACTCCCATTAAATATAAGTTCCTTAGTCCCCAGTGCCTCACACATGATATACATTTAATTAACATTTACATTTGAGGTTTGGACCAGTGCTGTTACAATAGTAACTGGCCTTACTGAGCCTCAGCTGTCTCTACTGATACAGCCCAGAACCCACAATAATTTAATCTTTCAGGAGAGGGCTCACCACTTTTGTCTGCTTTAGCTCTGGGCTGGGAAGTAGACCTCTCCAAGACAAATCTCCAATGTACAATCTTCCCCTCCCTCTCTGGTAACATATGAGAAAAAAAGGCCTAAGGACAAGGAAATGTTAAGGTCATTCTACTTCCCTAGAGAGAGTCTACAGGATTCCACCTTCATTGGGAAAGCTCGGGAGAGAAAAGTCAATATTCATCTTTCAACAGCATGGCACAGTAGGAAAAGTGTTAAGAGGACCTGGGTTCAAATCCTAGCCCTGCCATTTTGTGACTTTGGGTAAATAACTGAATTTCTCTGGGACTCAGTTTTCTCATCTTTAAAATGAGAAGGTTGGACTAAATGACCTCTCAGGTTACTTCCAGGTTTAAATCTATAACTTCTGAAGACAATACATCACAAAAGATAACTACCCATGGTTTCCCATCACATACCCCAAGGTGCCACCATCAAAGATGGCCACCTGGTGGCTGGGCACTAGGGTATTTATCTTCCTTGGAGTCTTTATGAAATGGGGCTGTAGATCAGAGGAAGTATGCAGAAATAAAGTTATAAAAATAAAATTAGACTTAGGGGCAGCTAGGTGGCACAGTGGATAGAGCACTGGCCTTGGAGTCAGGAGGACCTGAGTTTAAATCTGGCCTCAGTCACATAACACTCACTAGCTGTGTGACTCTGCCCAAGTCACTTAACCCAATTGTCTCACCAAAAAAAAAAATAAAAATTAGACGTTTTTTTTGTGTAGATGATTTCCAGTTTGGAGGTTGTTCAAGGTCAGAGGCAACTCCTCTCCTCAAGGCTCTCTCCTCAAAAATTTGGGTGATATAGTAAGAGATCAAACCAGGTCCCTGGCAAGGTCACCCCAAACCAGAAGGTGGGAGGATGCAGTATAACATTATTGCAAACCCAGCTAATGATGCTTGAGGAAGGCATTGACTCATCCCAGTCAGGCTCTCCTTTCTTTCCCATCAGCAACTGGCTTCCTTTCCTTTCTCAGTATGGAATTGCATCCCAGTATGGTATTTTCCCATAACTAGATTGAACTTTAGGGGTCATCTAGCCTTGAATAGGAACATTTGCTACAATATCACTGCAAGCGGTCATTTACCTTGTACTGACAGGGAGCTTACCTTCCAAGGCAGCCACTTGTAGACGGTTCTAGCTGTCAGGAATTGGTTTTTTTTTTTTCCCGATGTGAATTTTTTTCTTAGAAAGGGCCCAGGGCTCAGGTTTGTAACTGAAACCTCCCTTGACATAATGTCATCTTCCATTGACTCCCAGTATTTGCAGGCCACTAAGCTATTCAGGGTCATCTTTGCATCTCGCACTTAATATGGCTAAAATCTCCCTCTCTGTGACTTCTACCCAATTCTCTCAGTTCAGCCCTCTGGGGATTCTCTTGACTACTCAAGCTCCAATCCTCATTCATTCCAGACATGAAGAGGGAAAAGCATCCTCCCCCTCCCCCTTGCCACCCTTATCCTCCTTGTTTTTTCCCCTTTTCTCTAGTCTTCCAACCTCATTTCATCACACTATCTCCCAACTAATGAAATGGGATACTTTGGCGCATCACGGACACTGACACGTGGTGGACCTTGAGGTCCCATGTGTCCTCATTCCTCCTCAACAAGTTTGGAGCATGAAGATTATGGAGGAGTTAATGGTTACAGCCAAGGTAGAAAGAGGAAGGAAGGTGTGGGGAGTGGGCAAGCATACATCCAGGTGCACACACTCAACAGTGTGGTTGTGGGGGGTCAGTGTGCTTAGAGTGGAAGCTGGGCCAGTAGGAGAGTGTAACAGGTCAGGGATGTCTCTAGCCCAGCTCAGCATCCTCAGACTGGGGAACCTGGACCTACTGCTTACACGTGTAGGCCAACTCCTCCTGTACGCACTGCTGGCATTCAACATAGCAGCACCATTGCACGTGGCAATGGCAAGAGAAGGCCACGAGGCGGCTCTGGGTGTTGTAGCCCCGACCACAGCACAGACTGTCACAGCTGGCCTCCCGGGAGCAGGCCCGCCCTGCTGTGCCCGGAGAGTACTTGCTGGGCCGGCAGAAGCTAGGCGAGTCATCGATGTACACCAGGTCGCCGGGCCGAGGGGCTGTGCCTTTGGCTGGGCGGCTGGACCTCGGGGGTGCCCACAGCTCCAGGCGCCCCAAGGCTTCGTTGGTGGTGCTGGAGACCTTGACGGCGGAGTCATAACGTAGCTTTAGCAATTGGCCCGTCTCCCGGAAGGGGGAGAGCTGCTTCCAGCAGGTCCTCACGGCACAGGAGCCGGAGACGCCATGACATTTGCATGTGGTCTTCAGACCATTCCTCACAGCCTGGGTGGGAAGGGAGAGAGAAGACTCCCTGTTAGCCTGGGCCAGGGCCTGGGCCGGGGGCTACCTCTCCCACTGATGGAGCCTCCCTCACCTTCCTCCTCTGTCCTAACACACCCTCCTATATCCCCCTAACATTCTCTGAAGAAATCATATTACCACTCTCTAGGTGGTAATGAGAGAGACTAGGAAGGGAAATGGAGGAAAGAAAGATAGAGGGAAAAGAGAAAGGAGAAACTCCTTTCAAGGCTCAGCTCAGGTGCGTCAACCTCCAGGAAGCCTTTACTGATCTCCTTTGTTGGTGGTGGCCTCCTTCCTCAACTTACCTTATATTTATTAACATGTCCCTCAGAGGAATGTAAGCTCCTTGAGGGCAGAAACTTTTTTCATTAATAGAATTACATATTTAGAACTGGAAGGGGTTGTAGAGGTCATCTGGTATAGTCTCCTCATTTAACAGACGACCTTGGGAATGGCAAAATGACCTTTTCAAGGTTACATAGGTAGTAAGTATCAGAACTAGGATATTGAGCCCAGTTCACAGGGTCATCAATCTTTAGCAAGAAGGAATCTCCAGAGTCATCTAGTCCAACATCCTTATTTTAGACACCAGGAAACTAAGGCCCAGGAAATTAAGTGACTTGCTTGAGGTCATACATGTACTAAGGGTCAGAGGTGAGATTTGAACCCAGCTCCTCTGCCTCCAAATCCCAGGGCTCTTTCCATGGCAACCATAATATCTCTCTATTGTTGTCTCTCTGTCCCCAGTGCCTAGTGCAGTGCCATATGTATAAGTGCTTAAGGAATGCTTGTTAAATTTATTTGATAAAGGCTAAGTGGAAAAAAGGGGGACTTTCTAGAGAATTATCTCTAGATCTCAAACCTATAAAAGGAGCATAATTGAAATTTCCCCTGAAATAAACTGCCTCCCTTCCTTCCTTTTTCTACCTCAAATCCTGCCCCTAATCATAGGATCATAGGATTTTCAGCTAGACGAAACCTTAAATAAAGATTAGCTACTTATTAGGCAATGAGGTGACTCAGTGAGTAGAGACTTGGAGTCAGGAAGATTTGAGTTCAAATCCTGTTTCAGACATTTTACAAGCTGTGTGACCTTGGTAAGTCATTCTCAGACTCAGCTTTCTCATCCGTAAAATGGGGATAATAATTGTATCTATCTGCGGTTATGATAACCTAAGAAAGCACTTTGCAAATCTTAAGTGCTTAAAGTGTTGTTGGTCAATCACGTCCGACTCTTTGTGACCCAATTAGGAGTTTTCTCAGCAAAGATACTAGAAAGGTTTGCCATTTCCTTCTCTAATTCATTTTTACAGATGAGAAAACTGAGGCAAACAGGGTTAATTGGGGTTTTCTTGGCAGAGATACTGGAATGGTTTGCTATTTCCTTCTCCAATTCATTTTACAGATGAGGAAACTGAGGCAAATAAGTTAAGTGACTTGCCTGGGTCACACAGTTAGTAAAGGTCTGAGGCTGGATTTGAATTCAGGTCCTCTTGACTCCAGACCTGATGTTCTATCCACTGTGCCACCTGGCTGCCCCTAAAGTGCTCTATGGGTGCTACCATCTCTTCATCTAACAAAGGAGAAAACTGAGGCCCAGAAAAGGAAAGTGATATATCCAAGATCTCTAAGTCATATAATTTAAAACCTGCTCCTCTGACTCCAAACCCAAGGCCTTATCCATGATACAGCCTGCACCACAAATTGTGTATTGGGAGGAGGGTGCAGTGAAGCTATTCATAAACATACATCATCCAAATAATACCAAAGCTGCCTTCCACTCTCTGCCTATTACACAATTGCTATGATGAAGTGAAGCAATTTAGGTCATTGCTGGTTCCTAAGCCAGCTCTCAGTTTGTCCTGGGAGAGCTCGGTGGGAGAAGGTCCTGCTAATAGGTATTGATGCTCAGCTGTTCGGTCCTATGCTCAGGGGAGACTGAGGCTGCCCTGTGGGGGGATGCCCACCTTGATACCCATGTTGGTATTGTGGGCATCCATCCGGGCACGAAGGTCCTTGCTTCCCTTCTTGGATCCCAGGAAGTTGCTGAGGAATTTGGTGCTGTATTTGAGGTTGTCCCCACACACACCCCACTGCCAGGCCTGGCGGTTCTCCATCAGGAGAGTCATCGCAGGTACAGCGTTCCATTCGGCCTGCACTGCAGGCCCGGGCCAATGCATGGGTGAGGGCTGCTGAGGACACTGCATACAGGAATGCCGTCTCCTTGAAACCTGTACCAGAAAGGGAGGAAAGAGGCAGGAATAGAGAGGGAGAAAGAGGAAAGGCTGAGGTCCCAACAGTGAATACTGTCTGGCCCTCTTGGAGCCCTGAGTGACAGCAGAATCGACTATCAGAGTAGTAATAGATTGTAGAGATCTGGGACAACTAACCAACCAATTGGTCAATCAATAAACATTTATTAAGCACTGTGTGCTAGACTCTATGCTAAGTGTTAGGGATACAAAAAGAGGCAAAATACAGTCCCTGTCCTCAAAGACCTCCTAATCTAATGGGTGAGAAACAAGCAAAAAAAAAAAGTATGAACAAGCTATATACAGGATAAATAGGAAATAATTAGCAGAGGGAAGCCACTAGAATTAAGAGGGGTTGGGAAAGGCTTCCCAGACATTGGGGACAGTCTCATTTTACAGTGACCCAGAGTGGAAGGGACTTGTCGGTGGTCGAACAGCAAGTTGGCAACAGTTGGGGCATGTGAGACCTCAACTAGAACACTGAAAATGCTTCCCTGTCACCCGTCTCCCCTTCTCTTGAGACATGACATAGACCAAATGTGCAAATTCCATCTCTCCAGGGTTTTTTGGTTCAAAGAGGAAGTATTTGAATCTAAACCCTGTAAAGATGGAATAACAGCCATAAGTAGGGTCACTACTGGTCCGGATCTGCCAGCGGAGATTCCTTCCAAAGGTCTCTGTCTTCTACTTTGGCTATGATGTTCTTGAGGCTTGAAGGTTGAGAGGCAGCCCCACTCCCTACCACCTCTTCCAGGAAGCCTTCTCTGAGTCCTCCTGTGTTGGTAAAGCCCTTTCTTCTGTACCACTTTTTTTTTTAAGACAACTTGTCTGCATGCAGCTTTACCTATGTTTATGTCTTATCCTCCTACTAGACTGTAAGCTCTTTGAGGGAAGGGAGAATGCCTTATAATTATACTTTGTATCTTTGTCTTAAAATTGCCTTATAATTATATTTTGTATCTTTGTATACAAAGTATACTTTGTATCAGCACTTAAGTATGATCTGTACAAGACAGGTACTTAGCAAATTTAACATTTCAAATAATAATAACTAAATTTTAATTGAATTAATAAATAGCCCAGCTAATTATTAAATTGATTAATTTAAATTTAATTGAATAATAATTAAATTTTAAATAATAACTTCTAATTTTAAATTAAAGTTGAAAGGACTTCACTGGCATTCTTGTTCAACCCATCTCAAAAGAAGTCCTTGTCAAGAATGAGAAGTATGGGTACCTATCAACTGAGGAATGGCTGGACACATTTTGGCATCTAAATATATTATTATGTTGTAACAAATGATCAAAAAGATGATTTCAAAGGATCTTGGATGGCACGAACTGATGCGAAGTGTTGTGAGCAGAACTAGGAAAACAATTTATACAAGGACTATAACCCTATAATTGAAAATATCTTTGAAAGACTTAAGAACTCTGATCAAAGCAATTACCAACCAGGTCTCCAGAGGACCCATGAAGGCAAAAGATCTCAAGTACCTTGTATATGAGAGGTAATATATTTAAGGTACAGAAGGAAACACATTTTTTGAAATGACTACTATGTGGATTTGCTTTACTTGACTATACTTATAGTCACAAGTGGTTGGTATTTTTCTCTGTTTTAGATTGGGGTGAAAAGCAAGCAACAGTGATGTAAAAAAAAAGGCCATTGAAAACTTTCTTTTAAATGCAGGGAGAAATAGAAGAGAATTCAGAAGGAAGCACAGACTAACAGGGCAGTTTTGAAATTGATACGTGGGGGGCAGTTAGGTGGCATAGTGGATAGAGAACTGGCCCTGGAGTCAGGAAGTCCTAAGTTCAAATCTGGCCTCAGACACATAATACTCACTAGCTGTGTGACTCTGGGCAAGTCACTTGACCCCAATTGCCTCACCAAAAAAACCCCCCAAAAAACAAACAAACAAAATGGACTTTATTACATACTTTAAAAAAAGTAAGTGATGAAGATTCATGGTTTCATATAATATCCTCTTTTTGAATTCTGCTATATGTATGTAAATGCTTGTTTTATTGATGTTTAAATTCAGAATTTTAAAAAATTTAAAAATAATAGATTTGGGAGAAAAAAAGGATGGGAATTGAATAGGGGATCCCACTGAGATTACTTTCTATTTACAAAACATATGTGTATATTCCACCTTCTATAGGAAGCCTTCCCTAACCCCTCTTAATTCTAGCACTTTCCCCCTTTTAAATGATTTACTATTTATCCTATATATAATTTTCTTTGTATATATTTGTGTGTGTATGTGTTGTCTCATCCATTAATTGTGAGCTCCTAGAGGGCAGGGATTATCTTTTGACTCTTTTCATATATTGCTTAGCACAGTGCCTGGCACATTGTAGGTACCTAATAAATATTTATTGAATGAATGTGTATATGTATATGTATATACATGCATACACATACTGTATGTGTTATATATGTATATTTTATATATGCATGTATATTATATATATTATTGTATGTATATACATATACACATATAAAGATATTTACATACACACATATACAGTCTCCTTTGTCCCCTATACCCATTATTCTCACTCTTATCATTCTACTTGTGTTATTATTCCACTTAAATTAATACTCTGGTATCCTGGAAAAACTATTAGACTGAGATTCACTGGACTGGAATCACAGGATGTCAGAGCTGGAAGGGTCTTTAGAGACAATCTGGTCTAACCCCTTAATGTTACAGAGGAGAAAACTGAAGCTCAGAGAAGAGAAATGATTTGTCCAAAGTCACACTTACATATACACACATGCATGTATATATAAATACGTGCACACATATCTGCATGTATATAATATATATATAACACATATATGTTTATATGCTTACAAATAAGTATGCAATACAACATATAAATGTTATGTTTTAAGTCTAAATGTTATTATCCCCCCAACATATTCATTTTTCAGGGAAGGAAACAGAAGCCCAGAAAGGGTATATGACCTGCTCAAGGATAAGCAGCCTTACAATAATATAATAATTATTATATTACAACATGTAATATTGTATATTATAATTATTGTAAGCATTATATAATATGTTGTTATGCATGATTGCCCAATTATTTGCATGGCCTTCCTCCAGTAGAATGTGACCTCCTTGAGGGCAGGGACCATGTTTTTACCTTTGTTTGGATTCTTAGCACTTACCACTGCACCTAAGTGCTTTAAAAAATGCTTGCTTATTGGCTGAAGGAAGCACTTACCTCTTTTCAGGAGCGTTGTTCTCCCCTCCAAACTACAGTTCCAGCGCTCATGGCGGAATTGGGCCTGGCACTCAAGGACACCCAGGTGCACAGCATCATACAGGGTCTCAGCTAGGCCCGGCTCCCGCCGACATAGCTGCTTTTGCTTGCGGGAAAGCTTCAACAGGTCACACTGCTTCAGGTGGGCTCTGCTTTGCAGGGGAGCCGTGGCTGAGCTTACTCCAGGGAAAGGAGTCAGAGCTTCTCTTCCTGTCAGGCTAGTGGAAGCCGGGGGAATAAAAAAAAAAAAAAGAAACAATCTTGGTTAAGTCCTACAAAGAGAAGGGAATGAGTAAAGTAGCACCAGTCTGGGGACACTCGGCAGTGGTGGTGTTGTGGAAAGAGCCTTGGAGCACGGGTTCGATTCCCTGCATTACCACTTCTTAGCTGCTTAGACTTGGGTAAGTCATTATATCTTGCTGAGGTATCTGCTCTCTGAAAAAATGTGTGTGTGTGTGTGTGTGTGTGTGTGTGTGTGTGTGTGTGTGTGTAATAATACTTAGATTTAAAGAATTATATATAGAGTATCAGTATTATGGGTAGAGAAGTAACCAAGAAGGTAGTAGATAGAGAGCTAGCCTTGGAGTCAGAAAGACTTGGGCTCAAATACCTTCTTTTGACACCTACTAGCTTAATGCTCATTAACCTTTTGTGCCTGAGACAACCATCTAAGACAATAAGTTACAGATGAGTTGCCAATATGAATTGGAGGAGGTTCCACTCTAAGAGTTATTATATTGATGAAAGCATAGGTCCAGCCTCCTAAAATATTATCGTGGTTGAGATGGAATGGACTTCCCTAAGAATAAGCTTCAAACCTGGTGGGCTGTTACTTCTGAAAGTATTAGTCCTTTGTAGCCCAGGCTCTTGATGCCTTTCTCAATGTAGAACATTTATTTGTCAAGTTCCTTTTCCGCCATGTTCATCCTGATCCTTTCCCTTTCAGGGTTTCTTCCCCATTACACAGATGAGAAGACTGAGGTTTAGGGAGTGAAGATAATTTGTGCAAGGACACACCTTGGCTGTAGAGATGGAACTAGAACACTAACTCAAACTGCATCTCCTCACTGAGGTCAGATTTGATTAGCCCAAAGTCATAAGATTATTAAATTGGGAGAGACAGTAGAAATAACTCTGGAATGGGAATCCATTGACCTAGGTTCTGGTCCTCGCTCTGCCACTAATTAGCTATATGATTTTGAGCAAGTCATTTCCATTCTCTGGGCTTCAGTTTTCTTTTCCAGATTATCTCTAAAGGCCCTTCCAGAATTGACAACCTGTGATTCAAGTCCACTGAATCTAAGTCTAGTAGCCTTTCCAGAATATCAGAGTATCAATATAAGTGGAGTAACAACAGGAGAAACAATATTAGTGGGAATGGTAAGAACGGGCGTGATAGGCTTAAGGGAAAAGGAGACTGACTGTCTCTTGAAGGCTGGAGATAAGGTTAGATATATGACTTTTAATGGTCTAATAATTGCTTGTATCCCCCAGCTAGGCTCCTTGAATGTTGGGATCTGTCTTCTTACGTGCTCCTTCTCCCTTCCTTCCATAATGCCTAGCACAGTACTGATCACACAGTGGGCCCTCAATAAGTTCTGGCATGAATAACTGAATTGATAGACTTAAGCATTTCAGCCCCATTCCTTTCTTCTGAAGCAAAATACTGGAAAAGTATAAGACAAACTGGATTCTAGCACTAGTAGGTCCTATAGCAATTGGAACAGGCCTAGACTGGCTAAGAAAAGCCCTAGAAGGTGAGCCAAACATTCAGACAGGTCCTATATCCTTGTAGTCTCTCATTTCATCACCTCTTCCCATTCCTCATCACCATCAAGATCATAACCTATGTGTATAAGTACTGAAGGGACATGGAATAAAGACAGGATCAGAGTGGATGAAGGTCATGGAAGACCTCAGAGGACGTCAATTTTGAACTGGTCCAATTTATTTTTGCAGCACTACCTCATCCATTCCATTTCTGGATAGCTCCAACTATCAGAAAGCTTTTTCTTATACTGAACTGAAAATGAAGTTCTTCACACTGTAGCTTCTATCCCCTGCTCCTTCATCTGCTGTCTGGGCCCAAACAAAGAAAGGAATGTTGGGCCTGTTATTTCACTGGAAGTTCCCAGCAAAGAAATTCCTTTATCAATGCAGCCCTGGGACACCTTCTCTGCAATTTATAGTCTTACAAAGTTGTGTATCAGAGGTTGAATGATTTACCCAAGGCTCAAGTATGTATTGGAGGTGGGACTTGAACCCAGATCTTCCTGGCTTTGAGGCCAGCTCTCTATCCTTTATGCTATGCCGCCCCAGCAGAATCATTCTAAATCCATCTGCTTGATACCCCTCTCCATCCTGGTTACCCTCTTATGGGTACAATCTAGCTTTTGCCTTTAAAAAAATATGGTACCTAGAATTGAACATGCTTCAGCTGTGGTCTGTTCAGGGCTGAATACAGTGGAACTATTACTATTTCCCTTGCTGGAAAAGCTATCCTTCTTTAATACAGACTGAGCTTGATTGCATTAATTTTTTTTTTTTGGTGGCTGGATTATGGTACTGCTTCATTTTGACCTTGGGGTCCACTAAAACCCTCAAATCTTTTTCACATGAACTGTTATAGCCCTATTTTTTTTCTTTTTTTAAATTTTTAGGCAATTGGGGTTAAGTGACTTGCCCAGGGCCACACAGCTAGTAAGTGTCAAGTGTTTGGTGTGAGGCTGGATTTGAACTCAGGTCCTCCTGACTTCAAGGCCAGTGCTCTATCCACTGTGCCACCTAGTTGCCCCAACCCTATTTTTTTCTTGTACTTATACAACTGATTTTAAAAATCTAAGTGCAGGGCTTTCCATTTGTGAGAAACAGCATGATTTAGTAAAAGAGATGTTGAAGCCAGAAGATCTGGGTTCAAGTGCTAGCTTGGAATGATCTGTGTGACTTTGGCCAAAGCATCTGACCTCCCTGGGTCTCAATTTTCTCATTTGTAAAATATGGATAAATAATTATTATGATATCTCCCTCACAAAGTTGTTGTAAGAAAAGGGCGTGTTAGTAAATGCTTAATAATTAGCTTTTAGGTCTAATCTGCATAATTAGCATTATCTCTATCACTTTTAAAAGTCTAAACAATGAATAAAACAATAAATTGAGCCCTGATTTATAGTCTTTTTGGTATAAATGCCTACACTGAAAATTTAGCAATCAGTTCAATGGAGTTGAGCTGGCTCCCTTGTATACCTCTGATTAATGCACCTAGAGAAATGTGAAAATATTTTTATTATCACTTTATTTGTAGCAGCTTCTACAAGATAATTCATCTGTGTGGGAGCTGGAGGAAACCTGAGGGCTGTCACAGGGGAAACCGAGTCCTCAGGATATTGAAAGCAAGACTACCTGAATGCCAGGAGTCCACGTGAGAGATCAGGAGATATGGTGAGATGTTACGTGCAGGCATGCAGCATGGCCCTTCCTCTTTTTGCTTTTGCAAGTGTTTTGCCTTGGATTGCCTGATGCTCTAGAATATCCAGTTCCCATTCTATCTAACCCTTTGCAAAACTTTAATGAGTTTTAATAAATCATGTGACCTTTGAAAAGGCACTTGTCTTTCAAATGAGGCTGGTGGATAGAGAGATTACCCAGGCAAGCAGGTAGGAGGTGGGGGGTAGGCGATCCCAGGTAATTCCTCCCCTTCCCACTTAGAGCATGCTTAGAGTTTTCATTGCTGGTTCCAATGACCACGTGGATGCTGTGGGGCCTCTGTCCAGCTTTATGGTGGCCTGGAGCGGAAAGAATTTTAGCATGATGTAGCCCCATTTAGATGGTGCAGTTGATAGAGCACTGGATTTGGAGTCAAGAATACGTGAGTTCAAAATCCAACCTTTGACACTTACTAGGTATGTGACTCTGGGCAAGTCACTTAACCCCTATTTGCTTCAGTTCTTCATCTGTAAAATGGGGACACACTGGAGAAGGAAATGGCAAACCACTCTAGTATTTTTGCCAAGAAAACTCCATGGACGATATCTATGGGGTCATGTAGAGTTGGACACAACTGAACAGTTGAATAACAACAACAAAGCCCCATGACAGCCTCGGGAGGGACAGGTGCTCCCATCAGTCAAAAGAAGACACAGCTTTTGGCTTTAGTGTCTTGGCTTTGATCCTTCCACGTGGCAAAGAGTACACTGTGTCCCTAGAGTCTCGTGAAAGAGGTGGGGAGACAGGGAGTACTCATTTCCCTCTCCCAAGGGGAGCGTAGACTCAACAAGGCAAGCTTGCGCTAGGGCCTCTGGCCGCCATTTGTGTTTTATGTTTCCTTTCTTGAACAATTGACTGAACACATTTCACCAGGTGGACGTGTCCAGGCTTGGAGGTGACTTTGTCAATTTAAGAGGTCCAGGGGTCCAGACAGGTACCAGGAGTGTTTTCCAAGGTGAAATGGTAAATGTACTGATAACTGGCCACTGGTCCCCAGTGGCTCCGGAGCAGAAAGTGAGGCTGGTGACTTTGCACAGCCCTCCCTCACTTAAATCCAATTCACTTGCAAATCATGGCATCATCTTCCTGATGCCATGGTCCTCTTGGAGAATGAAGGACAAACCACCACAAAAATTAACAGTCCTGAAGATGACTTTGTGTTCTGATGAGATTTGAGTATTAGCCTCTGTTGCTTGTAACAGTATTGATAAGTTGTTACTGAATCCTATTCTGTTCACCCATGCTTGCAAGTTTTTTATATTTAGCATTTCTTGAGTGGTAGGAATTAACAATCGCTCCCCTACTTAATTTATATTATATGTTGAGTATCTTTTGCTACTCCTCCCCCCTCTAGAGGCTCTAGACATGAACTATAGCCTAAAATCTCTTCTGGGGAGTTGGGGAGAGGGTGTAAATGAGCTGAAGAGAGTAAAAACAAGGGCCCTAAGCCCTCTCAATACTGGAAGGCTGCTCCATGACTGAATCCAGGGCAATGACATGTCTGAATCCAGAGCAGAGAAGGACGAGTACTCTGGTCCCTCGGGCTCAGGAGAAGTTCCTCAAGGTTAAATATTGTTGGCTAAAGCCATGTTGAGATTTCAATAATTTAAAAAATAGCTAACATTTATAGACCACTTTAAGGTTTGCAAACTGCTACTAACATATTCTGTCTCATTTGACCTTCCCAACAACTGTGTGAGGTAGATGTGATTATTAGCCCTATTTTGCAGGTAAG